CACACAATAATACACCAATACTCATAGTTCAATATATATATATTCAATATATGATATACTTTAATGTTAACTGTGCCATTCTGCATAATGAGTACTTTTACTTTTAGTACTGTAAGTTTATTTTCTACCAGTACTTTTGTGCTGCTACTTGAGTAACAATTTGAATGCAGGGCTTTTACTTGTAACAAAGTATTTTAACACTGTAGTATTATTAATTTTCCCTAGGTATACAATTTGAGTACTTCTTCTACTTTGGTTCTAACTGGTACTTAACTGTAGGCCCAGTGAAAGAAAACAAGAGTATGGGGGAAAGGGGATAATTGAGCATTATAAAGGAAAGTTCCAATAAATTCCATCATTAGTATTTGTGTAAATACAGGCTACAGTAAGTGTGTGTATACTAAGTAGACAAGCCTGAGGTTTTGGGAGAATGCTGTATAATAACCTTGTTAAACCTTATTACATTACAGTCCACATATATTATTCTATGACCTAAACACAAAAAATTGCTGTTTGACCCTGACCTTTATGTTAGATTATTACATTATTATATAATGTATCACATCAAATTACATTCCATATTATGTTGTTTTAATGTTTCCTGCTCTGAAGCCATCCAGGGCTGTGTACTAGTGTGGGTGTCACAGAGGTCCTCTCTTCTGTATTGAAGTTCCTCCTAGATGTGCAGCAATGTTTTTCATTTTACATTACACATTAAGAATAATGTATGCACGTACTAAAGGACTGTGTGCATGTGCTCCAACTTTCTAATTACACACTAAGAAAATACAGGTTAAAATCATTTTCTCAAACAGTTTTGTTTCCCAAAAATTATTTATTTCTCCATTCCTGTTGAATGCTTAACTGTTAGTCCCCTGTTTCCCAAAATCTTGTTTTGTGCTCATTCCTTTATCTGCTTTGTTGAATTAAATATGTGGCCTTTGTAGGGTTTTATTCAAGTAAAACAGTTGAAGAATCCAGATATGCCTCATCTGTCTTTCTGATGGCAGGTTTTGCTGTGTCATCTGGTTTTTAGTAGAACCTGTCCTGCAGCTGTATACATGGGGAATGTCACAACCATCCCATACTCATTCCAGTTCAAAGGTTACAGTATGGTGTGACTTCCAGTGGGCCCTCCCACTGTAGCTTGCACCTGCCTCCTCCCCAAGAGTGCCTTCCGTCACTTCAAACCTTGGGAGACACTGCAACTGGAACTGGGGAGCAGAGGTCAAAGGTGGGGGGGGTTAATGTCTCCTGACACTATGGCTCCCTCCCTCTGAGACAATGAGGCGTCTGAATCTAAACGCTCCTCTGTTTGTGCTGCTGGGCCAAGAGAACACCACTGCAGAGCTGACCTTTGGCCACACGCTCATCTGTTTTCCATCTATTTCTTTTCTTTACCTTGAAATATTCAGTGAATTACAGTAAAAGAGAGCTGATTTTTAAGAGGCCATGGGTAAGATTACTTTCTTCCTGGATGGAGGAATAAGTCAAACCTGCATATCCTGTCCAAAGATTTAAGTGATAATCTGTCCCAGTAACTGCTCAGTGAACTCATGCTGCCCAGAAATGTGAGTCACAGATGAACCAGCAATAATGGAGTATTATACAGATCAAAATCTGGTGCATAGCAATGAAATATATATGTTTTTTAACTGCTTTGATTTTTCCAGTGTGGCTTCACAAAATGCTTGTATTTTCAAGTTAAAGTCTGCAGTTGTTTAATTAGAGAAACAATATTTTACTTTGTTTTTTAAATTCTCATTTTCTGTTTACTTTCACAAGATTTGATCATTATGATAAAATTAAGTTACAGACTTCTAGTTCAGCAATGTTTTACACACTTAATACAACACTGTGTTAACAAGACTGTAAAAAGTCCATGTTGTAAAACATCAAAGTTCATTTCCTAATGATGTTTAAATGCTTGTTAACCTTCTTTTTTATAATGAGCCACACTTTTTCAGTTTTCCTCTCATCTTCTGTTGCTGGCCACATATGTATTAGACCAACTCTACAACCAACCTGTTAACATCTGGAAACAGCAGAAAATGTTAAGTCACATACATAAAATCATGACAAAATGTTTGCAAGAAGGACACAGACTGTTTTTTGTTAGCCATAATCTGTCCTCATCAGGTCAAAGGACAAAGTTTCCTGAACCACATTTCTGTGAAAAGCTTTAAGGGCAAAGTTCAGCATGTTCTGGTTGTGTGTGTGTGTGTGTGTGTGTGTGTGTGTGTGTGTGGAGGGAGGGGCGCATATTGTATCTCCATTTATATGGCATTCAGGGTCAAAACTCAGAATTCAAAGATGAAAGGTCAGTGTAAAGTGTGGAGGTTGCTAAGCTGAGATACCATTCATATTGCTGGGTTGGTCTGCTCATCTCCTTTAAGGCCAATGTTAAGAGCTGAACACAGAACTCATGTTCTGAGCTGCACTCGTGATGCAATCAGTCAACAACAATAAACACAGCAACAACAGTTTTTTATGAATAGCAGCTTGGTGAGGACTTTGATCAGACTTTTAACTGCTGTTGTAGTCAAAATGCAAATTGCACGTAACAGCTTTTGTGAACAACAGCCTTCTAAAAGGAAACTATCCAATTTACCTGACTGACATGTTGAGTGCTGCCTCTCTTTATACTACTGGCAAAGGACCGAATTACTATTTAAACACCACAGTGAGGTTGGGGCAAGTTATAAGGCACAGTATCCAACTGGTTGAATCCAAGTGGCCAATAACAACCTGATGTGATTGCAGAACAGAAGAGGAGAGAGAAGAGCCACACTGACACACACACACACACAAATTCTCTCTCTCTTTCTCTCTCCCTCTCTATCTCTCTTACAAAGACAGACACACACACACACACACACACACACACACACACACACTAACCCCCATTCTGGATCTGAAAAGGGAAACAGAGGCAGGGATGGGTAGAAGTAGGTTATGTTGTTGTGTTCTTATTCATGAGAACACTGATGTTCCCCAGGTCCTTAGAGACATTTTGTTCAAGGCCGGGGTGAGATGACAGACTGCAGGCCAGTGGACCTGATAGCACAGATTAGCTCAAGATTTCAGAATATAGGGTGGGGGCGGTGGGGTGGGGGGGCAATTTGGAGCTCAGTCTTAAATTTAGATTTACACTGTGAATCTTCTTCATAATGAAGACTGAAAAATAAAACATGAAGTGATATTTAAAGTTATTTAAAAAGTTTCCATGAGTACATTTGCTGTTTGTGAATGGCACCCAACTTCACACTTTGGTGACATGTGTTCACACCTGGGAGCTGCCTCAGCGCCTTGTTCAAGGGCACCTGGATGGTGCTGAGGTTCTCCTCTTGGTGTCTGTGTGCTCGGGCTGATAGTAAATCTCCACTACTGTGGCAGATATATTCTTTTAACTGTCATATTCTGGACTTCATCCAAGGAGAGGCCTAATGATTTGTTTAGAAATGCTAACTAAAAGGTTTGTTGGGGCACTTCTTACTTAATGTTTTATTTAGCTGAAAGGCCATTTTATTAAGTTGCTTTTGCAATAAGGGAGATAGGTTAAAGAATTATCGAATTGTTTCCATTAAGGTTTGTGACTTCTGTCTACTCAGTAATTGGTATTTGTCTGTTCATTATAAAACAAAACATGTGGAGACAATGTGCAAAGGTTTCTGGTATAATAAATAATGTAAATTATATTTGTCACCATTAAGTTTTATGTTGGCCCAACAACAGGGTTTCTTCCCTGAATCCAGAAATAAAGATAAAAGAGATTTTAGGATTATCATATGTTACATTCATGGAGGCTCCATGATATTAATATTCAGGGTACAGCATATTTTATATTTGAGCAGAGCCTAAGACTATGCAGCCTTAAAGGGGAACGTCACTTCTTCAAACTTAGGAGACCAGTTTGAGTCACACATTAAAGCTAAATATGTGAAAATGAGTTGAAGATATTTTGATTTTAACTCCTTGCTATGGATAAAGCTCCAGAAACAACTGAAGCTATATTTCCCATGAAGCCACTTAATAACACTTTCATCACTTTCATTACACCTGATGACATCATCAGGGTTATTTTTTCAAGCTTTAAAAAGCTCATACAGAGCAACAGAAAACAGTCTGCGGCTGTTTTCACAGACTGACTGGTGCTCAGCAAGTCACCATGTGTGTTAAATCGGTGGAGTACAGAAGTAGAAAGTAACTAAGTACATTTACTTGAGTATTGTACTTAAGTACAATTTTGAGATATCTTTACTTGAGTATTTTGATTTTCTATTAGTTCATACTTTGAGTTGACTACATTTTAGAGGGAAACGTACTTTGTACTCTACATTTATTTGATAAATTTAGTTACTAGTTACGTTTTAGAAAGAGATTAATAAAACAAAACATAGTATAATTATAAAACGTATTTATCTTTGGAATAAAATTCACAAGCCACTCAGCAGTAATTCAAATTATAAGCATATCAAGTAGTTAATATAAGCTCTATCTTTACCATCTGCAACATTATATGTGATGTACACAATAATATATCACTAACTGTAATTGAATAATATGATGTAAACTGTGACATTTTGTATAATGAGTACTTTTACTTTTGGTACTTGAAGTATCTTTTATGCTAACACATTTAAATAGGAGACTTTTACTTGTAGTACTTTTACACTGTGGTATTGCCACTTTTACTGAGGTAACCAATCTGAGTACTCTTCCACCACTGGTAGGCTACCCCTGTAAAACATCTTCTGTTTATCCATGAAGTTTTCACATGCTCTTCCTTGTCTCTGTGTCCTGCTAAAATTTGTTTAAACAAAAGCTGCACAATACAGTGGGTTGAAGGCTGCTGGTGGTAGTGTTACTACTATTAGCTGACAGGACTGTGCCTGTTGTTGTGTGAATAGTATAAAAGCTGCTTCGTTCATATATTCTCAAAATAAACCAAATAAACGCCATTCTTCTTCTTCTTCTTCTTCTCCTTGCTGGCAGTGGGGGTGTGTGGGCAGCGGCACACCGAGGACTTGCTCCTTTAAGGGTGGTGTCGGCGGCAGCACAGGAGGAGGAGTGTGGCTGTGTCCGCTCACTCCTGCACAGCCAGGGGACTCCGACAATAAACAATTCCTCCACAGTACGAGCTACACGTTTCAGCTCGCTCATAGTCGTGGCACAAAAAAACGAGGCATTTCTGGACTAAAATTGTGGTTTTGAAAGCCTGCCTCGCCATTTCTGTTTCCTGCCAGAAGTGACAAGACAGACGCGACCGTTTTCATTGGATTTGCCTCCTCCTGGCGAGTAATAACGATGCGCCTGTGTGGCTGACAACGCAGGTAGGAGATCTGTGTGCTACAGATAAACGCATTGTCATATCAGGAGAATCATTAATACCGCTGGGGGTAAAAATGGGCGAGTAATTAAAACAATGACAGTACACGGGTAGGCATAGGAGACGCGGTGTCCAGGCTGGTCCTAGATAACAGCGTCTTTTCTCGAGGACAGGAAAGGCTGTTTGTCGTAAGGCGCATTTGGATATAGCGCTGAAAACGCTGCATAAAGAAGTGGACAGCCGTGGCTGCGTGTGGAGCTGGAAGCAGGTCGGTCACAAATAACAGCCGCTGCCCCATGACCGGCAGATTAGGCCTAGGATAGTGGTATTTGTCGGTGTATGTGTTGCTGTATTTCCCGATATGAATTTATTCTCACAGACCGAGCGCGGCTCAATCAAACGGAGCCGCTTCGTTCATTTTCGGTGTATTTTCCGCTTCTTTAACGCCACTGCCTTAGCTGCTAATGACCAAATAAACACTGGATGATATTGGCAGGCCAAAGGTTAATTTAATACTGTTGGGCTGGCCAAGTCAGAGGAGATAATGGAACATTAATACAGTTTTGTAGTTTATCACACTGGGTCAAAACTGTAGACACCCTCATATTGTGAAGTAGTTTTAGCACCACCAATGGGAAACACTTCACAGTTGCACTATTCTGTAACCTTTCTGCTGGTTTAAGTGAATGTGGAGGCCTTGAAAAGACACTTGCTGTTATATGTTGATATCGGATGTGACTGGTATTAAACCATATTGTCCTGGATGCCTTTAGGCTGCTTCATTGTACAGGTCCCTGGTTGTCCAGACATACTCCACTGTGAACGTTTACTCCTTCATCTAAAAAAAAGTCTTAAATTTGCCTCATGTATTTCTATGCCCCCAGCTAGTGTCATTTTCTGAATTTTACGTGGCAGTACCGCTCAGGTGGGGCCAGTGCCAATGGCATTAACCTCTGAGCATGTACAGTAAATATAGTGTAGGTGAAGGTGGTTAAACATGTTACAAATCACTGTTGCTACAACATCATCAGTATCAAAGTGATATTTGGCCTTTTTTATGAACTACAGCCATTCATGGCTTAGTTAATGTTCCCATAAATGGTCGTTTTGCCTTGTTAGCCACACCACATCCTAAAAAAAAGTCAGTTTGTCTGTAACCACTGGTCAAGTTTTGGAAGGATATTAATTCAACCTGTAGACCAAAATGCAGCTGGGTGAAGTTGGTCTGTTGCAGCCTGTCACATCCCTGTGCCATCATGTCAAATATGTTTTGATGGAGTTCAGAGATGGATGTTTTTCAGTAACTGCCTTCATGTAGGTCTTCATTTTGGTGATATGTCCTGTTGCTTCATGAGACTTTGGATCCATTTGGAGGCAAAAGGGCAGGGGCCGAAGTTTGATGTGAGTTACAGGAACGAGGGCAGAGTACATCTTCAGGTCAGGCTCAAAGGTTCAGAGCAGCAACCTGTTTGGATGTTGTAATCTGAGGATTAAGTAAAGGTTTGCTCAGTTAATGTGCTACTTTTCACAGAGCTGTTGCTACCTACACTAGCAAAAGTTAAAAGTTTTTAAAGCCTTCTAAATGCTGTGCGTGTCCAGGGGGCTGCCTTTTAGCCTGTCTTTTGTTGAGCATTTAAGCAGCTTAATTATTTGACCTGAACTTACACAGGATGTTCAAGGTAGTTCAGCTTGTCCTCTGTTGCCATAGATAACTAAAACCTCCACATTTAGAGCTCAACTTTAAAGTTGCACTCAAAAAGTAGTTTTATTGGAGTGGTCTGGATGGAGCTTGAGTTCACTGAGCCATCTGCAGTTGTCCAGGGAGCTGCTGTTGAGTGATGTGCAGTAGCCTGCAACAGAACCTGGAGACATTCAAATGGCCAAATGCAAATACTGCTGGGGCCTGTGAACAGTCACAAGACTGGACTCTGCCACTGTTCTCTCCCATCCACGGGCTGTCTTTCGTGACAGCAAATCTTATCTGCCATCAAAACACTGCTGCTGCTCTATGGAAGCGGCATGTTTTGACGTGCGTGTGTTCATGCAGTTGTGCTTTGCATGTCTTTTTTTTTTCTTTTTTTTTTTTTTGTGGGTGTGTTTTATGAAAAACATTCAGTCGTTTCAGAATCACCCTGCTTGCTGCTACCCCAAACTCCTTTAAATAGTTTGATCTAATAGTATTTTTATAGAGGATGATGTCACAGATTCAGGAGTACATACCCCGACACCGGTCTCTACTAACAGCCTCTCTGACTACCACCTCTGTACCACTTAAAGCCCACCATTTGTGAATTTGTCAGTCACAGTAGTAAGAGACGCGGGGCAGACGAGGCTGAGGGTGGCATTCTGCTGTGTGATCACTGAGATACATGGTGAAAAAGCAACCTAATGTGCACTCTACAGGAACAAGTGTCATACATTTACTGCAGAGTTTTTGATTTATTATGGACCTGGGAGCTGCCCAGCACTTGTGTTGTTGGCCACCGAACATTGTTCAAGGGCACTTTGACAGTAGATGCTGAGGAGGAGAAGTGCATTTCTCATTTACTTACAGGCCCATACTTAGTCAGCCCGCTGAGGAATCAAATCAGAAACCTATTGGCCACAAGCTCATTTTCTAATTGTTTGGGCTCTTTAATAATTGTGTGGAGCATTCATCAAGCCATCCTTTCATTCTTCTCCTTATTGTTTATTTATACACTAGACACTTTCTGTTAATAACAATACTCAATACTACTTCGGCAGAAATTTAAAATACAACTGTGCTGTAAATTCCACAGTTGGCAAAAAAGCACAATACACAATCTAGTCAATCCTGTAGTTGTTCAGGGTTTGAAATGGTCAGTTTTTAGCTGTTTGCCATTAAGAGGATGTTATCACTCCTTAGTATCTTGACTCTTCTCTGTGCTTCCTCCTCCACACCTCTTATCTCACAATGGCTTTCACATACCCACATGCATCACGTACAGTATTACTTCCTGATATCGCAGCGGGCCAGATTGCATAAAATTGGAATGGAAAATGTCTTGAAATGGATATGTCAAAGACGAAGCTGAAACATCAAGGCTTGAGTGATTTGAGTGTAAAGATACTCACGTCGGTGTAGTGACTAATAGACCACTGAGGCCAATACAACAGAACTGAAAAAGAGAATATGCAATATAGATATTATTTATATATAGATAGATAGATAGATAGATATTAGAATGAACAGCAGTGCTCTACTGTCCAAGAAGATCATGAATTACTCAGGCAGAGAAATAAACAGAAGCATGTGGAACCCTGTGTTATTTACTAATCAGAATGTATTATTAGTATATTTTCTCAGAATATTCTGCTGCTAGAATGCCCACTAAATGAAACCGCATCACGACATGAAGCACTGAACTACTGAAGTTGATTTTGTTTTCTGAAATAAGATCATTGTGTGGGCAGTTGAAGAGAATTCCCACTGTGCGCTGCCTAAAAGATAGGGTTTAGTGAGAGCTCTCGGTTACAGCACCCTGTTGGTGCTTCAGCTGTGAACAGAAGGCAACCAGAGTCAATGGGACTCATATTGATGACAAGGCAGGAACTGCTAAATGCGTCTTTCAAGCCATCACTCCTGGATGTGGGCTGGAATGTCAAAATGTGAGGGAGAAAGATGGACGCCTCTGCTGCAACCCCTGATAGCTATACTAGCCAGAGCTCGTCTGTTGAATGACTCCCCTCCCACCCCGTTCTCCTCCCCCTTCAGTCTCACCTCCGACTCTCCACCCCTCTGCCTTTATGCTTCCCCTTGGCCTTGGCGCAATGACAGGCCCCTCAATTATCTCCACCAATTGATTGCTGCTGATTGCAATTGCTGTGAATTATTTAGACTCTGCTGAACTTGCGCACTAAATGGGAAGAAGCCCAAAAGACAGAGATATTGCAGATCAAATAAATTACATGGTACCCACATGAAGCATCGGCCTGGTTTGGAAACAACAGCTGTGGAAGCCTAACTGTGCCGATCAATGAAGCGGAGCAAGGGAACAGCATCAAGCTACCTTGTACTGTGGTTACAGAACTACTAGTCTCTATTGCCTCTCTCCTCTTATACGTTAAGTAAAGACTGAGGAGATGTAGCGTGGAGCAGCAGCCCTCCTGGGTGATGTGAGAGGAGCTGACTTCTTTCCTGGCCAGGCTGGTGTGGTCACAGCAGAGAAGCAGAGAGGAACTGACTCCCTCCCTCCCTCGCTCCTTCCCTCCCTCCCCTCTCTGCCTCTCCTGCTTCTGTAGCAGAGCAGCTGCCCCCGGGCTGTAGAGGTGCGGTGGGAAGGTATCTCTACCACTGTGGTGAGTGAGCTTCAGGATGCTGCAGTCAGACAAGGGGAAGGTCTCTACTTTGCCACAAGCAGGTCAATGTCACACGTGATAGAGTGGGCGGGTTGCAAGGAGAATGAGGACAGACGCTCCTAGAGAGGAGGCATACCCAGCCTACAGTATGTGTACATGTGATAAAGAGCATCTGCCTTATTTTCTTACAGAGGAATGCCAAGACAGATATGTGCTGGCATGTTTTTGTTGAAATTGTTTAGCAGCAAAAGTCAGAGGATGGCTGTAATTAAGTCTGTGTTATTACAGCAGTTGATCCTAAGGATTATAGCAAACATAGATTCACGTGAGTTTACGTTATACCTCAGTCAAACAGCAGACATCAGACAAGGCTACTGTTTGTATTGCAGCCATATGTGTTATTGAAATTGTCCCTGGCCTGGTCTAAGAAGCCTAAGGGTTGCAGGCTAGAAGAACAGGTCACCAAGTCCAGAGACTGAGGTTGGCTGTTATTCAACTCTGTCTTATTTTAACCAGGTTATGTGGCAGGAGTGAGGAGGAGAAGCTGGGGCTAAGTGAAAATGCCACTCATTCCTGAAGAGCCCCTGGCCTCGTCAAGGTTAGTGGCTTGTCTTTGTAAGTTGAGGGATTGATGCATGAGCCTGTCTGGCGCTGAATTCAAAGTCCAAGGTTGTCACAGCATGC